ATTAAGCAGAAAAGTAAGCACTCCGTTTCCAAACACATCAATCACAACATATCCGGATATAACTAAAAGTCCATCAGATGTTTTACTTGACAGGAAATAACTAACTGTAGCGTACAAAGGACAAAAAAGAATATGACAAACAGAAGGCAAGTAAAAATATGATAAAGGTTGAATATAATTCGTCCAATCACCAACACAATAACATGGTGCCACATTAACAATCAAGAGTTCGAAGAAACTGCCAACACATTTAGGATGCCTTTTATGTTCAAACATTGAGTATACTTTTGCAACCAAGTTATCTGAACAAGAGGTCAACACATAATATTAAACTAGAAATCATCTGACAATAGGACAAATCACCAATGCAAAGAGATCCATCCTCTAAGAAATCTTTAACCCAGAACAAAGAATAAAACATTTACTTAAACTGCACTATATTCACTTGATTGGCTTTTGGCCTGGACAATTACTAATCAAAGACAAAAGTCAATAAACCTCAACACTCCTTCTTTGGAGTTGCTGACCGGGTGTATGTAGCAATGGTGCAACCCTTTTGTGTGGACAGGAGGTCATGCCTAGGAGCAGCTGGACAGTTCATAAAAGAAGTCACCAGGTATAAAACAAGTTTCCGGAAAAGAGGAGTTATAACTGAGTTAGCTGTAACCCCATCAAGAATAACTTGAAAGAGCATTCATTAAAGAGGGAATGAAAAAGCCACCCCTATCAGCCAAAAATATAAAAACACGTTTAACCCCAAAACAGCATGTGTCAATCATATTTGGCTATTTGCTAGTAGTTTTTATCAAAGTTATTCAACCAGAACAAGATAGAGCAGCTACCTGCAGCAATATTAAAAGTTAAAGAGGATAAGATGATCAAGTGTCAAAGAACCAAAAGTTAGAAAGATGACGGAGTTATGGTTCACTTCACTCATAGATAAATGGTACATCTCACTCTTATGCAAATTGCAAAACTTTATAATAAAATGGTTCATTTTACTGTGATATAATTGCATAATATCATCCCTCACAAAAAAACAAAGCTTTTAAATGAATTGGAGTTGTGCAATCAACTTGAAGACAATATCAAAGCTAAAAATCGTAAACCAAATAGTCATCATAGCAACAGAATTTCATATTTATTTGTCAAGTTTAAAAACCAAAAAATATTTTATTGTTTTATATCTATTTTACTCTTATTATTAAGTACTAGTACTAATCATTTTCAATTTACTTTTCAATGAGTGAGATAACTTATAATAAGTCAAAGTAATATAATAAAATTAGCCTTTTTTTTTATTGGTTGTCAAGAAGTGGAAAAAAAAACAGGAGGATGGCGTATTTTATTTGAGGATTTGGGTCTAGGAGGTATTTAAATCATGATTTAATTAGTACTCATTGGCGGAGCCACCTTAGGTGAAGGATAGTCCGGTGTACACCCTTTGTTGAAAAATTAGGTAGCATACACAGGTTAAATATTTGATATTATAAATGTATATTTAATTTTACTCGCCCTTAACACAATCGGAAAAAAACTTCTACACTCTCTTCACAAAATTTCTAATTTCACACTAATGGAGTTTCTTTGAATATATATACATTAAAGACCACAACAAGATTACATGCTTCTTCTTTACGAATGAGTGGAATGTCATTCACAAAATGACATATTCATTGTGTATATATCAATGCTTTTATTGACTGCAGTGGTACTACAGAAAACAGAAAGACATTCTAACCTTTACAATGGGGAAACATCAACAGATTCGCTCATGATCAAGTTACAACCTAAACTTTATGGCCATACTGAGCTAGAATAAGCTGAACGAGAGTGAAGAAACTACTTTCCCAGCCCACAAACTATAAGTGAAAAGAATTACAAGCTAAAAGTTCAGTATAATCTTATGCTCAACTAATCAAGAGAGGAGATGCAAAAGGTCATGCATCCAAAATTGACATTGATTTAACTGATAAGAATGAGATTAAGCAGAAAAGTTAGCACTCCATTTCCAAACACAACAATCACAACATATCCGTATATAAATTAAAAGTCCATCAGATATAAACTTCACAGGAAATAACAAATTGTAGCGTACAAAGGACAAAAGAATCCGACAAATAGAAGGCAGGTAAGAATGTAATAAAGATAAAATATAATTTGCTCAATCACCAACACAATAACATGGTGCTAAGTTAACAATCAAGAGTTTGAAGAAACTGTGAACACGTCTAGGGTGCACACGTCTAGGGTGCCTTTTACGTTCAAACATTAAGAGTACACTTCTGCAACTAAGTCATCTGAACAACAGGCCAACACATGAATATCAAACTAGAAATCATTTGATAATAGGACAAATCACCAAAGCAAAGAGATGCATCCTCTTAAGAAATAAACCCAGCAAAATCAGGTAATGTTTAGGTTGGACTTGGTCAATAAAAGTGGGAAGTTTGAGAAAAAGTTAAGAGGGTTTTACTAGTAACTGACTTCTTTCGAAATCCTTTAGCAATTGGTTTGGATGATCATGCTACAGTAGTCATTAATTCCTCGACTCGTGCTGAACTAGGATAGGAGCCTAAATTTACAAACTTCCCTCTGGTCCTTGGAGTTTCAGCTTAAATTGTGGCAGGAGCTCTATTCTTTTGAATTATTGAAGAAATGTAGGTGAACTTTCTTGGAGATACTAATGAAGTGGCTATGGAGATACACTCAGCTGGATCAGTGCCTATGAAAGGAAGTCATTATTGACAAACATGGAGCACCGAGTCACTGGTTCTCTAAAGTCTCAACTGAACCATATAGGGTTGGCAGCTGGAAAAGCATAAGCAAGCTATGAGAGATGTTCTCACAACACAAAGACCTGGTTGTGGGGAATGGCCAACACATCTGTTTCTGTAGAGATAAGTGGTCAGGTAACACCCTTCTAGAGGTTGCCTACCCTGAGATATTCCAGATTGCAAATCAACCAGGCGCTAAAATACACCAACACAGGGATGGAACTCAACGAACCCCAACCTCAGAAGAAACATACAAGACTGGGAGATGGAGGAGTTGATAAGCCTTTTAGGAGCACTTCACAATGCCACAATCAACAGCCTTGAAACACCACATATTAGATTCATTTCACAAAAGCTGTCGCAAGAGACATAACAATTGAGCGTCAGCATCACCGAGCACTTAAATGAAGGCACTCAGTTCACATTCCAACTAGCAGCAAACATATTTGTTTATGTCTATGTTCACATAGTTAACCGAGCTTATTCCACACTTGATTCATGGCACATAGGTGATGCAAGTTAGCATTAGTATTCAACATATGGCTCTAGGTGATAACATACAACCCTATTTCACATGTCATAACCAAAACATTCTCTAAGAACTCACATATGATTCAAATTATATCAAAACCTGCCTCAAATAGTTTGAAGTAACTCAAGTAGGCCAAAAAATGCATTTATGGTTCATATGAAATTGACAGTCACACACAATGTTTACGGATCAAACTAGAAGTCACATAAGATCATATTATATTTAAGCTCGACATTTCTTAAGAAAACAAATCAGATTCCGTATCTCAATTAAATATCCCATGTAGTACCATATTAACCTTAGTGAAGCAATCAGAATAATGTTTGCAAGCGTAGCTACAGTTCAATACTCAGAAGAGAGTTTATTCAGTTGGGAGCATCTTTAGTTAGAATAATATGACAAAATTGTCAAAAGCTGACTCCATGTACACACTAACTCGTAAATAAACTCTTAATATTTTTTGGTTACTCATGTATCAGATAGTTAAAGCACAAATCTTCATCCGATGACTGTTGTAGTACAAATATATTGACCAGTACATTTATTCAAAAGTTATATATTTATCTTCATTTTTGACATTTTGGTATTCTATGGGGTGATTGCACTCAATATGGTGGAATTTGAAAAAATTCCCAGAAGTTAACATGGTTTTTAATTTAACAGGTGAAATTCAATTTAAACTCCATCTCCGAACAGCCTAGTGCAGGAAGGAGAAACAAAATCTTGACAAGTCAAAGTCCCCCAAATCTTAGAATCAGGACTATTCAAAGAAGAGAACCAGGTTGAAGGACGACATATGGGTTATTGCATTAAACTTTATATACCGAAAAGAGTTTCTTTGTGTGGTACTAGCTTTGCTCATTCTATTGAATGTTTTTAACATATGGAAGTACGTACGCACCTGGACACCAGAAACATGTAACTAACAACATCTGGCTATGACACAAAATTCATAGAGTCCAGATAAGAGATCTAGCTGAAATTTATTTACCACATCTTATTGTCAACTACTTCTGAGAGAGTGGGAGCAAATGTTTGAGAAATTTTAACCATTGAATAATCCTCGAGATAGACTCTATTTGGCATCAAGATCATAGTACTCGGAGAGGACCTTAGAATTCTGCTATATGGTACTAGCTAAAACGAGAAAGAAGATTAGCACATTAACACCATTATCTCGTACAATCTACCAAGATAGTTGATCGTATGACAGTGGCTGATTAGAATGCCCTTGAGCTATGATACACAAAAATAAAGGCACACATGTACAAAGACATGGGTTCCAGCAGATTGAGGAGCTCCAGCGAGCTTCCATGTCCACTTACCCAGTTTTAGTTTTAGACTCTTTAGATTTCTTTTTTGGAAAGTTGTGATTCCATTTTGTATTTTGTAATGTGGATTTGGTTTTGTTTTATTAAAAAAATGGTTCAGCAGCCCGTCCAAATTTAACTTTTTAGAAGGACCACTCACCTTGCTTAAGTTATAGAAAAAAACTCCTTCGGAAAAAAGTTTAATGGAAACTACTAAGCAGATAAATAATACTCATACGTGAACCATGAACCTCCCTGAATACTCGATTAGTTAGTTATACCAACAACAACAACGCTCAAAGAAGAAAAAGAGAACAACAAAGATATAAGATGCACCATAGAACCAAATTCATTAATACATGTACAAAAATAAAACCTTACCTTGATGAGAAGAACACTCTAAGAATGTGTTTTTTAATATAAACAGCAGTTGAAAAGAGCCAAACCAATAGACCAGCAGGTTTGATGAGCGATGAGCAGTACTGAGGGAAATTTGGAGTCCTTTCTTTTAACACAAATGTGTTTTGTGGCTGCATAATAAACTCCCAATGTTAAATAATTTACTAATTTATTACAAGGCAGATTTCTCACGATAGACGTTATATTATTGAACTGGAGAATCATAATGGATCTTCCATATATATTGTATAAACATATTTCAAAAATCTAGCAGCAGGGATGGCAAATGGGGTGGTGCGGGGCAGATCTGCATAAATCCGCCAAGACTTTACCCCGCCCTACTCCGCCTCGGATGAACCTGCCCCGCATAAACCTCAGACGATTTCTGCTTCTAACAGCATCAATTCTTCATGATAGACATACAGTTGAAGATATAAATGTAAAATTAAGAAACTTTTGTTGATATTTAATAGGTAAACACAGGTAGAACATATGTAATAAGATAAACATTTTGTTTACAATAACACTCTTGGTCAGAATCAAAAATAACGTTGGCCTATATAAGTTTCAAATCATATTGTGATTCATTAATTATTATAAACAACAATTTGGTTTGAGGCTAATTTTACAGTAGTAAAGCATGAACAAGAATGTAACCTTGCAAATTCAATAACAAAAAGTGTTACCAATTAACAAATTCACATTACAGAAAATGCTGAGCTCTAACAAACAGAAATCATTTGATCGGAAATTAAAATAACCTGGGCAGACATATAGCACCACCTTTATTCACTTCCTCACCAGAACCCAACCAGCGTACCCACCGCATCCTGCATTTTTTTTTAAAAATAAAATAAAATTGTACCCCCGCCCCTGCAAAAGCTCTAAGACATATGCTTCCCACTAACATACTCAAGAGCACGACATCAACAACAAAAAAACGAGATGGAAACATACAATTCAAATTCAGAATTTGGAAAAACACAATATCGGGTAAAATCAAACATTCCACAAAACAATTTACAGTTATAACAACAAAATTTTACCTTGAGAAGAAAACTCCAAGATTACGTCCAAATAATACCAATAGCAGACTAAGAGGAGAAGGGCTGATTTTGTTGTTAAATCAGAGAAATCTAGAGGAAGAGACTCACAATTGGGTATATCTACTTTGCTGATTTTACCCTAACATAACTGACACATGTTTTGCACGAACCAAATGTTTTTTTATATTAAATCAAACTAGTATGCGTAAATATTAAAAAATTTATTTATGATAATTTATTATATTTATTTGTTTGAGTATATTAAATATAATTATATTAATAAAATGATATGTAATAGTGCGATACACGTTTTGTATGCCTTTATCACTATATTATAATGTATTAATAAATATTTTTATCTTAATTTACAACATAATTATAGTAAATTAGCATAATTTAATAATCGATCATTGAGTATGAATATTACATGATATTTAAATGTGAATGTTAAAGAAAATTTATTTCTAAAAGTTAAATTTTAGATCTTTATTTTTTTAAAATTAATTAAGTTTTCAATGTGTAATAGTGGATATAATTTGTTTTCATTTTTTCTAAAACTTCATATTTGTTATTTCATTTTTTTGGCAATCAATATTGAAATTTTAGTAATTTGTATATTATAAATGTTTTTCTCTTCTTGTTATTTTGCCTTTTAAAAAAAATGTTTAAATCACGATTCAGAACCTGTATGAATATTAAATTTTTATTTTTATCTCCTAATATATTGAAATCAAATATCTTAAAAGTAATACAATCTATGTAATTTGTTTTTTTCCTTATTCCATCCACTCCACGTCTCCTGCTAATATATAATCACATGATTAATACATTTTAATATTTGAATTCAAAATTTAAATTTGAAGTAGTTAAATTAGAAAATAAATTATTAGAAAGATAATTATTTTTAATATTTTAAAATCAAATATTAAATAATATAAAGATATGTTATTTCTTCATTGCTGACATGTAATTTTTTAAAATAAATAATCATATTTCTTTTATAAATTTGATTTTTTAAATACTGAAATTTGAAGATTAATTGTGACGCTGACACTATGCTGATTTTCCTCCCCTATTATATATATATATATAGATAGATAGATAGATAACTGCCCAATTCTCCAAAATACCCCCACAAACCCCAAGTAATGAGAAGCTCTCCTTAAACCCTTGCAAACAGCAGCAGCAGTAGCAGTCTCCAAATTATGTACATGCATTTCCTCCTCCGTCGAACTCACCACCACCAGCGTCAACAATGGCGGACACTGTTCGACGATGCCCTTTCCATCAAACATGTAAGAGATCGTGGATTGGACCACGCTGTCGAAAGAGAAAAGAATCTCAAACCACTTCTCAACATCAAGAATCTTATCAAATCTGAACCATCGAAATCTATTCCCTTAAACATCATCACACAATCTAAAGATACTCTACAAATCCCATTTCGCCCCATTGAGTTTATCCGAAAATATCCTTCAATTTTTCAAGAATTTTTCCCTGCTAGCATAAACATACATCCCCATATCAAGTTAACCCCAGAAATTCTCAGTATTGACTCAGATGAAGAGTTGTTCTATCAAAGTGTGAGTTACAAAGAAGATGTTGCAGATAGGCTTTTGAAGATTTTGATGATAGGTAAAATTAATAAAATTCCTTTACATGTTATTGATAAGCTTAAATGGGATTTGGGTTTGTGTAATAATTTTGTGGAAACTATAGTACCAGAATATCCGGATTATTTTCAGGTGAATAATGAGTCAATGTTGGAGTTAGTTTGTTGGAATCATGAACTTGCTGTTTCCTTTTTGGAAAAACAAGCAGTGAAATGTGAAAGTGAGGATTTGTTAGTTAAGTTTGATTTGAAGTATTCGAATGGGTTTGAGATGGATAAGAAGTATAAGAAATGGGTTGATGAATGGAAAAAATTGCCTTATATTTCGCCATATGTGAATGTAAAGAATCTTCCTGAAAAGAGTGATGAAGCTGATAAGTGGGCAGTGATAATTTTGCATGAAATTCTTAGTCTTTGTGTTGGGAAGAAGGCGGAGAAAGATAATTTGCTTTTGATAGGAGAGTATTTGGGACTTCGTTCTAGGTTTAAGAGGGCATTGTTGTTGCATCCTGGGATATTCTATGTGTCAAGTAAGATCGACACACATACTGTGGTATTGAAGGAGGGCTATAAAAGGGGAATGTTAATTCAGAAGAACTCGTTGATAGAACTGAGGTCTAAGTATGTTTATCTCATGAACAAGGTTACGGAGGATAAAAAATCGAAAGAAGTGCAGAAAAAAGGTAGTCATGATCTGAAAGAAGGTGATGCAAAGGAAACTGATGTTGATAATGAAGATGATGAAGAAGAAGATTATGATGAGGACTCTGATGATGTGCATAATGACTACCATGATGATGAGACGGACAATGAGGCTAGAGATGTGAAGCATAGCCAAAGAGTAAACTCGAGGACAAGAGTTGATGATAGAAACTCGATGACAAGAGATGATGATAGAAACTCGATGACAAGAGATGATGATAGGAAGCCTAGCCGAAGATTAAACTCGAGGACAAGAGTTGATGATAGAAACTCGATGACAAGAGTTGATGATAGAAACTCGATGACAAGAGATGATGATAGGAAGCCTAGCCGAAGATTAAACTCGAGGACTAGAGATTATGATAGGAATACTTCAGCTACCTCTCCGAGGACATCCTTGGGGAGAAATCAAAATAGAGATGTGGAAAGGCCATCAGGAAGATCGTCTTGGAGAGCAGAAAATAACAGTGAGCAAGATGCTCGATCAAGATATGGGGACAGAAAGCTTCCAATAAATTCATTGAAGACTTCGGCAGGAAGAAGTTCCAACAGAACCAACGAAAGAACCTCTCGATCTCCTAGGAGGGTGGAGACTAATGATAATCAATATGCTCACCGGAGATCAAGTAACAAATTTGATCTTCATAGAAACCAGGGAACATCTGAACAGAGGAGGACCTCTCGATCTCCTAGGAGGGCGGAGACTGATGATAATAAATATGCTCACCGGAGATCAAGTAACAAATTTGATCTTCATAGAAACCGGGGAACATCTGAACAGAGGAGGAATTCCACACCATGAAAAGCTATTCGCTCTGTGAAGGCATTGCATAATAGGCTTGCTTTTGATAGTTTTAGGTTTGTCAGTTGTCACTCACAATTGTTGGTCCTGAATCTAGAGATTATAATAGTGGATGGTTAGATCCAAAAAAGAAACTGCAAAGTATTAGGTGGTAAGAAACTCATGATAGTTTTCACAATTAGTGTTAAGAGTCAATTGTGAAACCAAGAAAAACACCACAAAAACCAGGCAAAGTGGGCAATGGCAGTAGCAGATGGATTGTTGAGTCTAAATGCTAGTAGAGCTAGCTATATTGCTTAGGGTCGTCATAGCAACGCAACATGGTGCACCAGGAATGGGATCTAGTGTGCCATAGTTCACGAAGTTGGCGCACATTGATACAGTTGTCACTGTGTTGTTTTAGTGCAAATTTGATGCTACTGTTTTGATACAATTTCGGGGACTGTTTTTGGTGTTTTTATCGTGCAGTTTTTGGTGCAGTTCCAATGCTTTTCTGGTGGTTTTGTTGGTGCAAGTCTAATGTTGTTTTAGAGGTGATTCTGATGCTGCTATTTTGGTGTAATTCCAATGCTATTTTGATACTTTTTGGTGTAAATTTAGTGCAGTTTTGGATCTTTTCTGCTGCTGTTTTGGTGCAACTTTAGGGTTGTAGCAGTGTGAATCTAGTCTAGCTGTTTTGGTGCATTTCCCATGCTATTTTGATACTTTTCTGGTGCAATTCTGGTGTTGATTTGAAGAACTTTTGGTACTGTTTTGGCGCATTTTTGGTGCTGCTTTCATGCAGTTCTGTTGCAAATTTGCTGCAATGTTAGTGTTGTTCTTCTGCAAATCTGATATACTTTTGATTCTTTTGCTAAAGGTTAAATACAAGATACTTGACTTTTTATTGATTGAAATATTTATCATGAAATATATTTTGTCCAAACTATCTTCAATTCTATTTTATATCAAACGAAGAAATGTATACTTCATCTTTAGATTATATTGTCCAATGCGTAATTTCATCTTTAGAATGTATAACATATTTGAACCATCGACACATAATATCACAATTTTAAAGCCAACTTCTCAACAAATTGAAACCAAACATACATTACATAGTCATTCATACCAGAATTCGTTACATTGCAAAATGAAAAGATACATTTTTCTGTACTAGGACAACAACACGTGGATGAATCTAAAAGGACAATTTTCAATTTCTTGATCTAAATTCGCATTTATAAACTTCGGCGAGATAGAATATTGAATTTGCCTCAATCTTTTTCTCTTCAACTTCTAGGCTTTTCTAGATTCTCACATCAGAATGGACAATGTGTCCAAATGATCACTGTGACAATTGATTGAGCACCTTGTCTGCAAATGTACAAGATACTGATATGTTTAATACCCTCCTAATAAAATTCAATTAGGAGTTCTAGTTAGTGAATTATCAACAGCGAAAGCACACCCAATGATCACCATAATCTCAATTTTTTATAGCCTTTTCTCTCTGAATTTAAACAATTTATTGCAGAGGACATCATGTGTTTGACCTCTTGTTCAGATAACTTGGTTGCAAAAGTATACTCTTAATGTTTGACCATAAAAGGCACCCTAAGTGTGTTGACAGTTTCTTCGAACTCTTGATTGTTAATGTAGCACCATGTTATTGTGTTGGTGTTAACTCCTATCTAAAATCATGTCATCGATAAACTACAAGTGTGTCATGTCCTATCTAATTACCTCTCCTCAATATTGCTTTGCCTTACAACTACCTTTTTCTCATAACCGCCATAACGACCCCTCACACCTTTTCACTGGGGCATCTACGCATCTCCTCTTCAATGCTCGAACCATCTCAGTCTTGCCTCTTGTTGGGTCAAAATAATCAAGGTGTCATACGAAAGTCGATAATTGCAACTCATGACAGTGATAAATTAGACCACAAAAAAAAAATATACTAAAACAATCATTATATATTAATATTGTTTAACCAAGCGACCTACATATAAGAAACTACTATTAAAAAAAATTACTAAAGCTATAAAGAAAATAATTACTTCTTAAACTATTACATTGTGGATGTTATTGTGTTATTATGGAAAGAAATGATCTTCAATGTATAAAAATTCAAAAAAATTCCTTCGACAGGATTAACCAAACATGGAAGTCTTTTTCAACAAGACTTTTTTTGATTAAGGCACAATTGTAGTAGAATTCAAATTAAATAAGGTAGAAAATTCGAGGCAAACCTTAACACTTCTCACATCTTGTTCACTATGGAAGTCACTCCTACTTTGTCTCAAACATTTTTATTTCATTAGTATACCTTCAAATATGCCTACACATTCATCTCAATATCCTTATTTTCCCTACTCTCATCTTTTGGACATGCAAATTTTTGACCCAGCAACACCCGCCTCATGCAATATATATAACTGATCTGACAATTACTTTATAAAACTTGTACTTTTTAGGTAATTTGAAATGAGCATAAAGATTTAATATAGTTGTCTATATATGTATCTTTATTATAATTAAATTATTATTTACTTGGTTTATGTATGTCTAAGTTGACAAGTATTCGAGAAATTAAATTCCTACATGATTGAGATCAGTTGAGCGTTAATGTATAGTAAGTTTTCATCCATAAAAAAACAATCCCTGTTTAAATCAAAAGAAGTAACTCATCTCACTTACGAAGAAATTGTGTGAAAATGAAAGTGGTGTAGTATACCCTCAAATTGCCTCTATTAGGTGCAACAACAATTAATAATAAAGCACTCGTGAATCCACAAGGCAAGGTAGAAAGAATTGAAGGTTTGTTTTAAGATGCACAAATTAAATGCAAGCCATCTTTGGTAGCTTAATTTAGACTTGAGAAATGGTGATTTTAATCCAAGAGAAAAAAAGATTAAAAGGTAAATTGAGCAAGTTATCTGTTAAAGAAAGAGGAAAATTTGTTGACTTTAATCTAAAGTTAGCAAGAATGCTAAGGAAAAAATTAGGGCTGGGCATTCGGTAATTCGGTTCGGTTTCGATTTTTCTTTTTCGATATTTTTGGTTCTTGCGATAGGTGTACCGAACACCGAACCGAAATAATTCGATTTGGTTCGATTTTAGTTAATTTGGTTCGGTTATTTGTTAGTTCGGTTCGATTTTTGTTATTTAATTTTTTGTTTAAAAAATCAAATACCCGGAGACTAGTCGCCAGTCGGCTCGTCGCCGCTGGGCGCTGGTTGCTGAAATGAGAAATCACTAACTGCTGAGACACTGACTGGCCGGCTGCCGCTGGTCGCTAATCGGCTGTTGGTCACAGTGGTCACTGGTCGGCGGCAGTAATTAAAGAATGGTGAGGGATCAGGGAAGTGGGAAGTGCGGCGTCACTAAGGCACGAGCTAATTTTGAAACATTGAGAAGTTGAAAAATGAAAAGGTAAAAATCTAACCTAATTTTGCATTTTCTTTATAATATTTAATATTAATAATTAATATAATATTAATATATATTATAATATAATATATTTCGGTTTAACCAAAATACACAAAAATACATATCAAAAACCGAACCAAAATACCAAAAATTCGAAAACATATACCGAAAATCGAAATACCGAAACTGAAATATCAAAAAAGTTCAGTTCGATTCAGTATTTCGGTTTTTCGATATTTATGCACAAGAAAAATATAACCTAGCTAATGAAGAAAAAGTCAACTAGGCATTTCTTATTCCTATCTGGAAATGAAACCTTTTTACCATACACATGCTTGAGAAATGGTGATTCTCCAAAATGAACTTTTTTTGGAGTATCTGTCGGTCGACATTTTTAGAGAGTCCAAGCAACATTATACCTAACTTATATTGGGCTCAAAATGTCAAATGCTGAAATATAAAATAGACTAAGGTGTAGTTAACTTTCTTATCCGTTAGGTACACCTACACAAGTCCAAAGTACTCTTCCCCTATGCACGTATTCTCTAAAATATTTCAGCACACAACATTTCAAATCCATATCAATGACTCTCTGCATAAGGTTACAACATAAGAGTTTAGTGTTGAATGAGTGGCAAACCATAAAGACCAGAAATACAATTTTCTGGATCTGCAGACATTATAACTTAATGATATTCGAACAAAGCGACTAAGGAAGATAACAAGGGAGTATCAAAAGAAGTTAGTCGAAATCTTGACACATATTTGGGTGAAAAATCCTTTAGTGTTGGGACAAAGACCAAATCGTTGCACAATTCAGCATCAACGCATTCGTAGGAATGGTTGGCCCAATGACAGTGAGGATGAAGACGAAGATATGGATATTCATTGTGATGCTTGTAGCTGTGATGTAACTTTTTCCCCTTTCCCTTCTTTTCTACTCTGTAATATTTTGACTCTAAACTTTGTCCATAATTTAGTTTTAGTAATGAAATAAACCCATCACTCTGGGGAATGAAACGTTGAATCAAAAACTCAACTAGTCAATCAATAACAATTCTTCATGTTTTCTGGAAATACTAACAATAGCCATCTATTAGCATTACATGTCTTTAGCTGAACTGTTTTTCAGACAAAACTCGTTTGATATTTCATGCTTCGAAACAAAAAACACCTACATGATAGTTCAATACAGGCTACAACTCAATGTGGTATTCTTTCTTCTTTTCTTCCTTTTGATTTACCTCATAAAAGCAAAGCTAGGACCACAACTATAGTTCTATCATCATACGACATTGAAAATATTCAACTAATATACTTAGAATTAGCAAGCAATTCAGACTCAAATAGATGTACAAAAGTTCTCTTAGAAAGTATTCAAATCGTCCCTCACACCTGCCCACAGCAACCAGAAAGAGAGTATAAAATCTCAGAGCTGTGAGGTCATCAAACGTTTCTGACAATGAACCCCAAAAGAATACCAGCCAAGCCAACCAGCAAGATGTACAAAAGTCGAACTCCAGTACGACGTTCGTGACGTCCATGCCTAAGAAGCTCCTGGACAATGGTTTCAAAAAGAACCAAATGATAAAATCATCTTAGCCAAAATGTCAACACAACAGATGGAAAATTTTCTTTGTGCACACCTACTAAATTCAAACAGTTGTTACAAGAAAATCCAGATAAAGGCCCGAGTTTGTTATGAAGTTCCCAGCTTAGGCCAAATCACCAGCCTATGGTTATCACACTAAAACTAAGTAGTCTACGAACTACTCCCTCCGTTCCTTTTTATATGTCACATTTTTAGATTGCACTTGCATTAAGAAATTATGTAACTTTACCCTTATACCCTTATTTGATATTTTCTTAAGTCAACTTTTCAATAAATGATGAATATGCTAGATTCCAAAAATTAAAATGCATTTGGATGACTATTTAAATTTTGAGTTTATTTCAAAATCAGATTTTATAGAATAGTGAATGGAGAGAGTAATTAATCAATGTATGAAGTACTCCAATAAATATTAATTACTTATTAGTTTTCCTAGGTTGATCAAAGTATATATTTTCAAGACTAATTAACTACTGGTAATTTATGCATTGATTTTATGAAATGACAAGTATTATGGTCCAACTATTTATAGAAAGGGATGACATATAAAAAGGAACAGAGGGAGTATTTTCTGCTGATTGCACAATAAAGTTTCTTAAAATCAACTTGGTCCACATTCTAAATACAAGTTCTAGTCTCTAACAGTTACCACCTTCTCTCTAAAACTCGCCTTTCAAGACTAACTTAGATCATTTGGTTAATGCTTGTACGCTAACGGACCTGTTTACTGCTATAACTGGGGATTAATGACCTTCAAGCTACCATGCACATAAAATTATCTGGAACTTGTGAACTAGTAGACAGAAAAAGGAAACATCAATTTACTTAAAAACCATTGACCAGTAATGCAGAAACACAGGGAAGACACATTTTCTTTGACTGCTGCACTAACACAGTCTCCTTCTGGAATGATACGGATGCTAGTAGCATTAACATATACGCCTCCCATGATCATTGCTTCAAAGACCAGGCCTCTCGGGTTCACTTGGAATATCATTAATAGCAGCAGGACTGTTAATGGGTTCATAACCTGGAAAGACCTGTTACCTTTTTGTCTTTGGAACATTTGGCTCACTGGAAATGACAATACCACAACAACAACAAACCCAGTGTAGTCCCACAATAGTTTTCATAAATAATAAAAATCATTTTCCCTTATAAAAATGTCAGCCCAAGGGCTATGGAATTCCATTTGTGAACAAATAGCCAGACTAGTGATATGCCCATTGCGGTTAGTTGGGAAAAAGGTAGAAGGAACCACTATAAGCTTAACATGGACGGTTCTTCATTAGGTAATCTAGAAGTTGGAGGTATGGGAGGGATTTTATCGATAGCAGCAGATACTGGGTTCTTGGATTCATGAAAGGTTGTTCCAAAAGCTACTAACAACATGACTGAACTTTGTGCCTTGCTCTACAGATTGAGGATCACTGTGAAAAATAACTACATGCCACGAAAGATCAACACTGACTCCTTAGAGGTAATTAATCTACTCCTTAAAAATAATGACACTTACTCTACTATTATGGATGAATGCAGGTTATTGACGGTGATGCTACAAGCACCTCAGCTGACTCACTGCTACAAAGAACAGAACATCATCACGGACTAACTAGCAAAGGAACGAGCAAAGAAGAAACTTTTTGGTAACATATTTTTGTTGATAGTTCCTCCTTGTTCGCCTATGATGCTTTTCAGTTACACATATTAGGAACTCCTTCTAAAAGATCCATCTCAGTTATCTATACCAATCCCGGCTTTCATATATATATATATATAAATAGAGTAGAAGACTCCAGAGGCTGTCTGAACCCTGTATTTTGTAATGATGCCTAACTATGTTTAATATATATAAAGAATGTCTGTTAATCCAAAGATAAAGAAAGAAACATCAAATACCAGGTCTCGGTTGAGCTTGGCATTTTGTCGAAGAATGGAATCTCTCTCTTCCATCAACCTCAAAATGAGATCTCTGGCCTGCAGTACAACCAAGAAATGAATTTTGTATCAAAAAGGAATCATCACACATCTGTCTGGTATCAAAGTTGGAAATGTGAGAGGACATTAAATTTGACACTAGCATGCTGAAAGAACGAAACCCGTTGCCTATCACTTCCCAAATCCAAAGATAGATGTTGAGGCATAATGTGTTTCTGTAGAAGAATCAAGCATAGACAATTCTTATTCAACAATTCTACTGTTTATGTTCTTTCTTTTTTCTTGTTTTGATGAAATTTCACATGTAATAATTATCAAACTATCTCCTTCTCAGGAGAGATAATCCTGAAATAGTAAAGAAATATTTTAAAATTCATAATTACAATAGCGTTGGGTGTTTCCAGCTTGTTTATCACCTCTACCTGTGTATGCAAACTTGAGCTAACTCTTGAAATGACTAAACAATTTTTGAGTTACCAAGTAAGTTGGTGAAAAGAACGACAACACAATAATACGCCTCAAACCAATCAAGTTGGGAAGCTGGTGAAAAGAAACAAACATAAATTTATTTTCTCTTCAGGTTCTGGTGTCACCTTTTATTCAATGAATAAGAGATTTCAACAAGTAGGGCTTGCCATTTGTCAAAAGAGTGTCTGGAGTTGCTGACTACCAACAGAAGCAGCAGACCCATTGATTTCATAAGAATTGCGCTTAGCATAAATTGTTGAAAACAGAATGTTGGATTAAGAGGCCGAAAAAGAAGGAAAATACTATTCTCACTTATCACATTTTGAAGGTGAATAACAGTGTTTGTATATATATTTTTTTCTTTTGATGTTATATTAAGGGTTTATAGATAATTCTTGCAAAGTCCTGAAATTTCTTAAGAATTACATGTTTACTACAATGACCTCCATCTTTTTCTTTCTTTCTGGAAAACTGAGAAATCCCCAAGGGCGAGTGGGGAACAGTTAGGAACTCGGTAGATAACAAACCCGCCCTTCCACCCTTCTCCACTTAACCATGCTTTAGTAGCGGCATTGTTCAAACCTGTGAGGCTGTGACATGTGCCTAACCCACATATCACATATTTGTGCTCTTGCTATTAGACCAAAGCCCTGCGGACCTAATACCTCCATCTACTAAACAGATTAACTGCACAACAAGGAAATGATAGTTGAGGTCTTGAGGATCAAATCAACTTCCTATAAGTGTAGGTTATAAAACACCAACATATATGGTCCCCTTTTAGGTGACGAACCAGCTGAGAAGATGGTAACAAGGGAAACTAAATATTGAATAAATCTAACATAAGTTGTTCAAATTTCTCGAGTTGAAAAAGTAAAATCTGATAGGTTAATGGGTTTCATAAACCTTTCTAATGAACACAAAGATTCAAAGAGTTCACTTAAGGTGTGCCCAGACTTCTTACCTGGTTGAGGCCATCAAGTAACTCCAATGAGTCAGAAGGTACTCAACGTTTACAGGTCAGATGACAAACATTTCTCCCAGGAGACTTATTTGTCTAATGAATTAAAAATATCCAGACGTCAATGCTTTACATGACCACCATAACATACCTTAACAGAGTTGTCCTGAGGCTCACTGTGTTCTTGTAAATCCTGTATAAGCAACAAAAAAATCATTTACAACTAATGTATGTCCCTACCATGATGAACAGATAAATAGAATTAAAGGTGGTATTCTAATCGATTAAATAAGATACAATAAACTAATTTAGATTGTCATTTTACAGTGTCAGAAGCTGTTGGTGAAGTTCCTTCCTCAGAATCTTCAGGGACTGGTGATGGTTTTCGTGGTGGTGAGACATAAATAACTTTTAGTTTGCATTCCTCAACATCATTTCCCCCGGGCTTGTTGAACTTCAGAAAATGAAAAGAATAAGATTGGAATGTACCAAAGTTGACTACAATATATAAAACTTTACGAAAGGCTAAAATAAGCTAAAATACCATGTCTGGGTTAATATCTTTTGGTGTAGACCCAGGGTCCACAATCACACTCTGTACAAGAAACTTGTCTTTGCATTGCATATCTGGAGGTAACTCCATTTGAGGTTGCATCGTAACTAAGTCCAATTATCCACAAATGTAAACCAAAAATAACATCAAACATCCATCAAATCTAAAATACCCATCACAGAGAACTAGAAAAGCACCTGTAACATTGGACCTTGATCGTGGGAGAACAATTCCACTGTTCGGCCTAACAGTATACTTCCTGGGATTGGTCGTCTTTACCTAATAAAAGTTAACAACAGTATATAATTTAACCATTTCAATACAGTAGTAAATCCTGCTCAGCCATAATTATACAACAACTAACTTCTAAATGACCATTTCCTTGATTACAAAAGATCTTCCTCATAAATCACATTTCTTCCGTCAATTATGATTCTTTTAACTGAAAAATAATAATCCATAATTGAGTTAAGATAAGGATTTCAGCCTTTTCTATCATCTAAATCTATAAGGTAAAATTACCCTCAACCAGTATTTGAGGCAAACCAAGTGCTTTAACTTTATGAATCACAAATTAATGTGCTTCTTCATTTCCGGTATTTCCTTTTCGATCTACTTTGTACTGTTTTTCTCGATCTATCGAAAACAGTAATAAGTTATGCGTACACCCTACCCTACCCAAACTTCACTTTGTGAGATTACACAAGGTATATTGTTGTTTTTTTGGTTGGTGCCCATATTGAAACTCTGACTAAATTTGGATCGAGCATTGTTGGGTCCATTCGGGTGGCTCTCCAACATGATTCTCTCTGTACTCAGGACTCGAACCCCTGTATGTTGTTGTTGTTGAATCACAAATTTAAGTATACATATTAATTAACTATAGTTACACTATTTTTAGTCCCCAAAACCCATTTCAAAAAATAAAAAATGGAGATTAAGTAAAAAAATGATATAGTACCTTGAAAGCAACATGATTATCAGTCTTATTGATGAGTTGAAAAGAGGTGGAAATTGACTTGTTGAGTTCAACTTGGAAACAAGAAAAGACAATAATCAAAACCCTAGCAAGTTAAATTAAAACTGATAAAATTGAAGAAGAGGAAGAAGAAGAAGAAGAAACTCACGCGTAAATTTGAGATCCAAAGGATCGATACTTAGAAGTAGTTGTTCAGTTGTCATCTTCAAAATCAAAGAAATTTCTGAAATCTCAAGAGACGAATTTGAACATGAATTTCATAAGTTTGCTTTTCCCAATGCAAAATAGAATCTTATTTTGACGGAATCAGAATACATATATTTTATTAACATAATACTTAATTGATTTTAGTGTATATTTTTATTATATTAAATAAACTAGTAAAATTACCCGCGCTTCGCGCAGGAATTTAATATCATGAAATTTATAAAATAATACTTAAAATCTATCCATCATTAAAACTATAAACTATGTTATCTTACATTCAAGATTAAGTAGTAACAAACATTAATAATGTAAAGGAAAATGAAAATTATTACATCTTATCATTTATCGTTAATAACATAAGCATAAATTAATGACTGTAAAAATACAAACCATGATCTATAACATAAGCAATGGTGTTAGTGAGCCACTCAATAGGAGCAAAGTACACAAATATTTAATTGTGAAGAAGAAGAAGAGGAGGTTCAAAATTTTCGTTGTTTTAAAATGAGAGGAAATCCCTCTATTGATAGACAACAAAGGGTAGTATGAACAAATGTTTATTGTGTCTTATCGGAAATGTTACAACTATTTGAAAAAGTTGCAACCCTTTGAAAATGTCACAACCTTTCATAAAAGTCACAAATTTTCATAAAAGTCGCAACTCTTCATTAAAGTCATAACTTTTCATAAAAGTCGTAACTCTTCATTAAAATCGCAATTTTTCATAAATGTCACAATTTTTAATGAAAGGGGGAAGGCTAGTTTTGAAAATAAATAAATTAAAAGAAAATTCTGATTTGTGGTAGCGTCACATGGGCCGGTCTAATGTTCTCTTTTATATATATACTAGATATGTGCGCCCATGCTAGCACGGGCCCAACATATGTTATTTATTTTATCGTAATTTATGTGACACATAGAATTAAGAGAGCCGTTCAATTTTTGTAGATATTTTTTTAAATAATTAAGTTGTAAATTATTGTGGCCTATTGAATTTACATAATTTTAAAATAATATGTTATTCTCTTGGTTCCAACTTATATGACACGAATGGAATTTAGAGAGTCGATCGGTCAATTTTCTTATATGATTCTGAAATATTTTAAGTAGTGATTTATAGTATTTTACGTAAAAAAAATTGTAATTTTTTTAGATTTCTTACTCTATCAATTTAACTCTTTTTCAATGTTTAATCAAATGATCTATAGCAGCATAAATATTTATGATTTATTATGAGACACACGTATAGAAATAAGCATTCACTTCATTTTCAAATAATATATGATACTTCTTTTGTTTCAATGTAAATGGGACATATGAAATTAGAGAGCAAATCAAAATATTTTCAATTGCTAATTATTGTGATTTATAATATTTTTACGTAATTTTTAATAATATATGTTATTCCATCTATTTATATTCATGTGACACTGGTAAAATTTCAAGACTCAATTAAATCTTTTTCAAAATTTTAGTTTTTTTTTATAAAAACTGTACCTCTAATATATTTTGTAACTAAAATATAAGAAATTGAGCAATTAAATTACAAAAAGTTAATTTTCACAAAATAAACAAAGCGAATTTTTTTTGAAGAAATAGTCATGAGGCACAAAAGAGAATGGAAATGAAAATTGCTCAAGTGGGGTCCATATATTAAGAGGCATTTGGGTAATAGTGAAAAGAAAATTGGAAAGAAGCGAAATAGAGAGTTACAAGGCCCCACATGCATGGGAAATAACCCCACTTTTCGATTGAAATAAAGGAAAAAAGTAACTTGAGAACTGATTTCGGTGTCCTATAAAGAGAAAGTACAATTCTAAAGTAGTCATGTACAATATTATTTCAGCATAAAATTAAGAAATTTCCAATATTGCCCCTTGCTAGGGAAGCAAGCATGTC